TGTGTGTGTGTGTGTGTGTGTGTGTGTGTGTGTGTGTGTGTGTGTGTACTGTGTGCGGTGGTTTCAATATGCTTTGGCCCATGGGAAGTGGCACTATTAGGAGGTGTGGCCTTGTTGGAGGAAGTGTGTCACTGTGGAGGCAGGCTTTGAGGGCACCTAGTGCTCAAGTTCCACCAAATGAAGAAGAGACCCTCCTTCTGTCTGCCTTCAGAAGATTGTTTCCTTCTGGCTGCCTTCAGATCAAGATGTAGAGATCTCAGCTCCTCCAACACCATGTCTGCCTGGATGCTGCCATGCTTCCTGCCATGATAAGAGACTAACCTCTGAAAGTGTAACCCAGCCCCAATTAAATGTTGTCCTTTTAAAGAGTTGCCTTGGTCATGGTATCTCTTCACAGCAATGAACCCCTAAGACAGTGTGCATGCTTGGTACCTATGGATGCCAGAAGAGGGCGTCACAACCCCTGAAAATAGAGTTAGATAGTTGTGAGCTGCTGTGTGGGTGCTTGGAACTAAACCCAGGCCCTCTCCAAGAATAGCAAGTGCTTTTATCCCTTGAGCCATCTCTCTAGACCCTCTAACTTTTTTTTTTTTTAAGATGGGGGTCTCTAATTGAATCTGATCTTGCCGCTCACTGTTTAGAATAAGCCGGCTGGCCAACAAGCTCCTAGAACCTTCCCCTATCCAGCCCCTATTTTTGGATTGCAGGCATGTGTACCAAGCTTGGCGTTTCTTATGTAGGTGGTAGGGGTTTGAACTCAGATCCACCTACTTTCAAAGCAAGTGCTCTTAACCACCAAGCCATTGTTCCAATCCCTCACTCCATTTTTCGACATCATAATGCAGCTACGTTTTGCTATGTCATATCCTTCAGCCTCTCTCCCTTTGTAAGCCTTCGGTGGCCTTTGTAGCATGAGGATGGATGTTTCTGCCTTGCCTTTAAAGGCACTGTCATTTAATTCCTATGATCTCACTGGCTTTATTTCTTCTCACAACTACACATAGTCCCAAGCCCATTTTTCCTGCCATGATCTTTTGCCTACCAAGTCCCATTCCTACGGCACCTCTGCCAGGCACACTGTCACCCTTCCCCACTTTTTTTAGATAGAGTTATAGTAAAATTTCTGGAATTTTGGTTTCTTAAAACAACAACAGGCCGGGCGGTGGTGGCGCACGCCTTTAATCCCAGCACTCGGGAGGCAGAGGCAGGCGGATTTCTGAGTTCGAGGCCAGCCTGGTCTACAGAGTGAGTTCCAGGACAGCCCGGGCTATACAGAGAAACCCTGTCTCGAAAAACCAAAAAAAAAAAAAAAAAAAAAAAAAAAAAAAAAAAAAAAAAAAAAAAACAACAACAGACAAACAAAGCCAGAAGGGCTGGAGAGATGGCTCAGTGGTTATAAGCACCAAATGCTCTTTCAGAGGATCTGGGTTCAATTCCCAGCACCCACATGGCAGCTCACCTCTGTCTGTAACTCCTATTCCAGGGATCCAATACCTTATACAGACATACATGCAGGCAGAACATCAATGTACGTAAAATAAAAATAAACTATATATAAAAAACAGAGAAATATTATTAGAAAGCTTTTCTGCTTTATTCTCAGGTGTGGGAATGTGGGTTGCTTCGGACTATTCACAGCAACTGACCATAATTTGCCTCATGCTCTACCAGAGGTGTGGTTTTGACAGCTGCAGATAGTTTCTGCAGTTGTATGGCATTTGGAATTCTGGGAACATTTCAGAGGGTATATAAATGCTATACTTGCCGGGCGGTGGTGGCGCATGCCTTTAATCCCAGCACTTGGAAGGCAGAGGCAGAGGCAGGCAGATTGCTGAGTTCGAGGCCAACCTGGTCTACAGAGTGAGTTCCAGGACAGCCAGGGGTCCACAGAGAAACCCTGTTTGGAAAAACAAAACAAAACAAACAAACAAAAAAAGATAAATGCTATATAGAGCCCTATTTTTTTGGGGTGTGTGTGTCAGTTGTGGTTTATTGTAGTCATGCTCAAAGAAGAAACAAGACAATATTAGATTCAGGGATATTCAGGGATATTCTCTCTCTCTCTCTCTCTCTCTCTCTCTCTCTCTCTCTCTCTCTCT